GCGAAAGAACAACGTTTGGATTCTTCGATGATCAGTGGAACTGCACAGAAAACTCTAAAGTTCGCCAGTATGGAGGTATTAAATTTCAGTAAAAAATAAAATTTAAGTGCAAAGTGTTTTTATAGCAGTATTTCTGAAATCGCTGAAATAGAAATACCTTAGTTGAGAGCTAAACGTTTAGTAAAGAAATGTTTTGATATATTATGAAAGTGCTGAATAAAAGACACGGCAGGAGAGGAACCGTGCATGTTTCAGCAAGAGTGGCTGGTGGTTGTAGACTGTTATTGAGACGAGGGTTGGGAAGGACAACCTTAGAGGCCTCTCAAAAGATTAGAAAAGGAATAAAGGGAAAACTAAAAGAAGAATGGTACATCTATAAGAACCATCTAAGAAAAGCTACTTATTTAGGGCAAGTCCATAATTTTCAAAGGAGATCCTGTATCTCTGGATGTACCAACATGTTCAGTTGTCACTAAAATGCATTATGTAATTTCTTTCTTTTATTCAACCGTCCAGGATGTTCACTAACACTCTTGCGTAACAGAACAGTAGACAGCGCACTTATAACAGTACCCTTGAGTATGGAAGCTGATGTTCCTTACGTGATGCAAACTAATCTTCAAAGATGCTATATTATTGCATTCAAATCAACGTATTTGCTGTGTAATGGATCRTGGAACATACTAGATAACGATTTCGTGAACAGCAGGTTCTTAATCGTGGAAAGTGAAAATACGCAAAATTTTACAGTAAGTTTTTAACAGAGGTTGTTGCAAAAATACTTGACAAAAACTTAAATCGAAAAAAGTATATAACTAACCAGTCATTCTAACTAATAAAAGATTCAGTTTAAGAGGACAACATCGCATTTGGAGTATAATGACGCCATGAAGGGAAGAATCCTGAGAATGACAATAGGGTGCTACGATAAGTCGGATACAATTATATCTGACTGTCTATTGTTGAAGATGCAGGGAACATTGAAATGTAAGTATCACGCCTTGTATGAGTAAGGAAACCAAAGTAAGGAAAACAAAGATCTCCAATTGCAATTGTTTTATGCGATTCAAACCGTAGTTCTTCTTAACCCTTCACATATTGTGCATTCATGCTTCTAAATATAAAGCATCTTGATTTTATTAGACGTTTTTCTTTTCCAAAACAACATTATCATCCAGGTCCTGACTTTTCTCTGCCAGCATTACCTAAGCCAACAACGTCACCATGGACGATCGCACCAACCTCAGAAACAGGCACCAGTAAAAACGAATTCCAAACACACAGTATTAGTACATCCCAGTCAACTACTATGGTAAGTAAAACTATCCCTAGTCAAATCCTTGCATTAGTTCATTATAAATAAATGAATACTTGGAAGAGTTTATATGCCGCAACTAGCATTACAAAGAAA